ATTTGAGTATCGCGTACTTATTTGGCAGAAATTAACAGTAGTTAAAGCAAATTTTGGCATGGATGTCGGGCATTGAGCCTGAACAGTTGTGTCCCAGAGTCTTGAATCTTTGTTCTTTCAGTGATCTCCAATTTGAAATAAAAGTGAGGGCAGCCACTAAACGACCCTCAAGGACACTTTTATGCCAGTGTCCTGTCATATGTACATCCGTAAAGCGGATGAAATCTTATGGAGACCAGTAGCCAAAGCAAAAGCGTCTCAGATCAGGTCATGCTAGGTCTTATTATACTCATTCTAGAAGAATGGGAGTTTTCAAGCACGTAAAGTTTGAACGTGATCTTAATTCGACTCTCTTGTTGCTAATTATAAATGAACGGTTGAGGCTGAATTACTAGACTGTACTGGTCAATGCTATCAAAAATAACTTAATAATCAATAAATAGACAGAGGCTTTTGACTGAGAAGAAAATAAGTACCGCTCCTCGCAATAAAATATGAATAAATTATGTGTTATTATGTGTTATAATTGTCCTTCCTTGGCTCTTTTTAAGCTATGAGTGTAATGAGGACACTCATACGGACATACTGACAGACGTTATGGCGTGTCTTCCAGGCTCCAAGTCCAAAAGATGGTTGATCTTTCAGAAGGGTGGGTCTAATAGCACCGTGTTTTTGCAGGCATGTTCGAAGGCAATGTTGGCAACCAACAAACCATCGAGCACCTTGTCTATTTTTGTTGAATCCTTGTGGTTATTCGGCGGTAACCATTCGTAGAGACTAACTGCACTGCTCCTAGCCTGGAAGTCAATGGGTCTGTCAAGTGCCTAATTAGGGGAACCTTTGAAAGTGAGGAACTATTATAAATTAAGAAGCGTTTTTAACAGTCCCGATAAGGGCATAAATCTGGTGGGTGCCCGGTAGATGACAGTTTAAGTGACGTCTCCAGAAACAATTCTGACATCACGTATTAGCCATCTAGTGACACAAATTAGATGATCACGGATAAGACTCAAAATGCCCTGCACAGCACCACAACTGAGAAGCTCAGAACAAAGGACTATCCGAGCGGTTTTAACAGTCAAGTGTCATGGACAAACATAAGAATCAAAACAGGAGGTCTCTGCTCAACCTCCAGAACCTATCGGTGACAAAAATATTCGTTATCTTTTGAACTGTCAAGGAAAACTCTGAAGTTTGGCTGTGATTCGAAAACATTACCTAAGTAGGATTAGTGCACTACTTATCGTATGGCATAATCCATAAATATTTCCGTCAAGTCAGGATGTTGACATTGCAACGAGCTTTACTTCGGCCACCTACAGTTGCACGCTGCAAAAGTGACAAATTCTATTTCTTTGATTTTCGAAGGCCCACAAATCCAAACATATTTTTTTAGAAAAGCATACACGAAAAATTCTTTCCCGCACCCATTTCGTAGACAGCTGCATCCCTTTTTCATTTTTTTACTTGAAGAAAAGGTATCGTTCGGTGTTAAAGAGTGTTCAATCGCCGAATGATTTTAGTCCGAACCGCCGTTGCACTTTCATTCAGTTTTTCCAAACTACATGTTGGCCGAGGGGATATCACAGATTTCTCTAAGCTATGAGCAAGATGTCACATATTGCTCTTGAAATGATGCTATGAAAACGAAGTAGTTGTAAACTTTAGAAGCGGCATTAATAAATGAAACAATAGGATGCCTCAAGAATGAACATTGTACAATCTTAGGAATTTCATCATTAGAAACAATTTTTTAAACCTTCAAGTATAAATTGCATAGAAGGCAAAAGCTGCTAGGAAATGAGCATCATAAAAATAATATTTTGTTTATATCTTTCATAAAATATATGCAAGTTTAAAGGGGCATCAAAAATCAAGGAGAAACAATTCATCCTATTTAAAATGTCCTTTTGACAGCATGTAATTGTTTCAGGTATCCGAAAAGGAACACCTTCAAAAGCGGCATCCTCGAGTGACTGAACTATTCATATGAAGATAATTAAGCTGACAACCCTACTTAAATAATCTTTTTGAGTCGCGGATACGTTTCAGTACTTTGGGTGACCAAAGTAGGCATCGCCGCTCGATGCCACTCAACAAGCTGTTGTTGTGGTTTACGAATAAGAAAGCAGCTAGGCCGCGTGTACA